ACAACATTCTCCCTATAGTGATATGTTAGCACTCCCTAAGGCTACATTCACATGGGTGATTAAGGACATACATAGAATTCCTCCGTCAAAATCTCCAGATTCTTGTGGAGATGTATGCAAACAGCTGTGGCCAGGAAGCCTGCACAAAGCAATGAAAGAAGCAGCCACTATTTGCATGTATCTGCCCATCCAGTGGTTTAGCTGGCCATTAGTGATGGACTGCATGTTCGAGTCAAACATAAGTTCAACTCGAGCATGGGCCATTCGTGTGTTTGTTGAACCACCGCACCCCACATAGCACCCTGACAGTGCATTGTGATTGGCCAAAGCAGTGCACCTGACCACAGATCAGGTGCAATACTTTGGCCAATCACAGGTCATGATGATGTCCCAACCCTTGTGATGTAATCACTCTATTTAAGAACTGTCATCGCGGCGCAGCTGTCAAACGGCGGGAAACAGATTTTGTTTCTTTTTTTCGCAGCGGCGGTGGCGGCGGGCATCATGATTGATGTTGGATCTTCTTCGGGGGACTTTTTTTAAATTTTTAATAAAGGACTTGTCAAAGACTGTCTCCTGTCTTTTTTTACACTACCATTTTTTTTTGTGAATGGATAGCAGTACCATGTACCCCATACTCATTTACATGGGGGGGGGGCGGGATCTGGGGGCCCCGCTTGTTAAAGGGGGCTTCCAGATTCCAATAAGCCCCCCGCCTGCAGACCCCCACAACCACCAGCCATGGTTGTGGGGAAGAGGCCCTTGTCAAGGTGCTTTGGGGGGGAGCCCCCCTGCCCCAAATCATCCCCCATGTTGAGGGCACATGGACTGATATGGTTCGGGGGGGAGCTCACTCGCCCCCCCCCTTTCCTGACCTGCCGGGCTGCATGTTCGGATAATGGTATTGTATGGATTTTGGGGGGACCCCCACACCATTTCTAAAAAAAATTTGCCGTGAGGGGTTCCCCTCAGAATCCATACCAGACCCAAAGGGCTTGATATGGATGGGAGGGGGGACTCTCTTTTGTTTTTTAAATTGTCAGTCAATTCTTTTGACATTCAGCTGTAAGCAATGAACCCCACTGACAGCAGAAGCATGTATGAATGTTTCACTACTAAAATACCACATGACTTAATGCAGTATTTTAGTAACTGAGCGGTATGTTACCGCATACTCCTATGCGGTAAGATACCGCTCAGTAAATTGTCCCTGTTCGATGTTCGGTAGGTTCGAATGTTCAACTATGAACCAAACAGGGGCGTGTTCAGCCCATCACTACAATAGATAAATCAAAAAACATCAGGTTTAGCAGGGTCAGACGATTTGATTTTTCACTTGATCAGAGCAAGCAGCCAATCAGCTGCACCACTTATCAGTGTATTCTGACAGCGGAGGAGTCCCCGTTGTCAAAATACAAGAGCGCAGCAGGAAGGATTCCCCTATCCACCTTGTCTGTGTGGATAGGGGAATACATTAATTTTTCTTGATTCCATGATGCAGTGATGGCCAGCATTAGGGACAGGTGAGCAATCCCTTTCGCAGAAAGATTGCGTCCAGGCTAGGACATCTGTCCTTAACGGCAGGTAAGTGCTGGATGTATGGATACATGAAAACAGCAGGCTCCTGTCAGTGCTTTGTACGGGCTTCCTGGCCTGTGAATTCGGAATATTCCTCTTATCACTGATGTGAATGTAGCCTAACAGCTCTAAAATACAATGACAATATGGTGGTTGTGAACCTACCTTTTATAGAAATGGGTCCAGGATATTGATTGATTCAATATATTGTCTCTTGTGACACAGCTGATCAGGGTAAAAGGCTATGTGCTGCATTACAGGGTCCTTACTTCTGGTGGAAAACCTGGAAACTATTTGTTCAAACCCATGGTACCGGTTACCCGAACCTTGTCCCTACTCTAATACCATGACAAAGTCTAGCTAATGAAATGCTTATGAATAGGTTGGGTGTGAAGTCTGTTCTGTTAAGGTGGTATACAAAGGAGCATGGGGGAGCTCTTGTCCATAATAAGCATGGTATTGACACAGCTCCAGATGATCCACATTGGCTCACAATTGATATGATCCAAAAACATTTAGACAGAATAAAGGTGAATAAAGCACTTGGACCGGATGGCATACACCCCTTAAAGAATTGAGCTCTGTCATTTCAAAGCCATTGTTTCTAACTTTTAGGGACTCTTTAATGACTGGCATAGTACCACTGGATTGGCGTAAGGCCAATGTGTTGCCAATATTTAAAAAGGGGTCAAAATCTTTACCAAATAATTATAGACCTGTTAGTTTAACTTCTATAGTTGGGAAGATACTGGAGAGTTTAATAAAAGACCACATAGATGAGTTCTTGCTGGAAAAAAATATTTTAAGCAACAGACAGCATGGATTCATGAAAGACAGAAGTTGTCAGACAAATCTGATTTCTTTTTATGAGGGGGTGAGCAAAACCTTGGACAGAGGGGTGGCGGTGGATGTGGTATACTTGGATTTTGCAAAAGCGTTTGACACAGTTCCCCACACACAGCTAATGTGTAAGGTAAAGTCTACGGGCTTGGAAAAATCCGAATGTAAATGGATAGAAAACTGGCTAAAAGTTCATATTAAGAGAGTAGTGGTTAACGATTCATACACGGCATGGTCTGGGGTTGTCAGTAGGGTACCCCAAGGTTCAGTGTTGGGACCCTTACTTTTTAATATATTTATAATCAACATAGGGTCTGGGATTATAAATCCCATTTCAGTCTTTGCAGATGACACCAAGCTGTGCAGTGGAATAACGTCCTTACAGGATGTCTCCAACATACAAGCTGACCTCAATGCACTGTTTAATTGGACAACTATGTGGCAAATGAGGTTTAATGTTGATAAATGTAAGGTTATGCACTTGGGGGCTAAGAATATGCATGCATTATACATACGGGGGGGGGGGGGGGTACAACTGGGGGAATCAATGGTGGAGAAGGATCTGGGAGTTCTGGTAGATCACAAGCTTAATAATGACATGCAATGCCAAGCTGCGGTTTCTAAAGCGAGCAAAATCCTCTCTTGTATTAAAGAGGTATAGACTCCAGAGAGAGAGAGATATCATATTACCCCGATACAAATCATTAGTAAGACCTCATCTGGAATATGCAGTTCAGTTTTGGGCAGCAATTCAAAAAAACATCATTGTGGAACTGGAGAAAGTACAGAGAAGGACAACCAAACTAATAAGAGGCATGGAGGAGCTCAGCTATGAAGAAAGATTAGAGGAACTGAATTTATTCTCTCTGGACAAGAGGAGATTAAGGGGGGATATGATCAACATGTATAAATACATCAGTGGTTCATATAGTGATCTCGGTGTAGAGTTATTCACCCTGAGGTCATCACAGAGGACAAGGGGGCACTCTTTACATCTGGAGGAAAATACATTTAATCTCCAAACATGGAAAGGTTTCTTCACAGAGAGAGCTGTGAAAATGTGGAATAGATTCCCTCAAGAATTGGTTCTGGCCAGCTCAGTAGATAGCGTTAAAAAATTTCTGGACTCTTTCTTAGATACGCAGAATATAACTGGATACTAACATTTATAGGTAAAGTTGATCCAGGGAATATCCGATTGCCTCTCAGATGATCAGGAAGGAATTTTTTCCCCTGCAGGAGCAAATTGGATCGTGCTTTGCTGAATTTTTTTTGCCTTCCTCTGGATCAACTGTGGGTATAGGATTATACTTTTTTTTTTTTTTAAATGGTTGAACTGGATGGACTTTTGTCTTTTCTCAGCCAGACTATGTAACTAAACTGTGTCTGAGCACCACAAACTGAAAACGCCATTTCATTCATTTTTAATATTCAACACAAACGCACCCATCCATCCATGTCTCACTTTATTTTACTGAGAAATCACTTTTGAAAAACACCCACCTAGCATTTCTATCTGCGGCCATCATAATTCATGCAGCATTTACTTCCTGGAGTCCATCTGCCCTTAGCTCAGGCATGCAGACCGGAGGGTGTGCTTACCTGACAAAGTCCCTCCTCCCATCCTTCAGATGAAATAAAATGCACATGAAGACATATGGGATATATGAACTAGGCCTAGGCCAAAAACCAAGAAGCAACTGAAGAAATATTAAAAAAAAATTTTTTTAAACAAGTTCGGAAATATAATACACCTTCCTATTTCCTAAAGCTAGCAGCATAAGGATCAAAAATAGTTAATGTTGATTGAAAAAGTAAAGTTCCACTTTAAACTTTAAACTTTTAATCATTATTAAGAGTGGGTGCCCTTCCAACTGGAGATGTGGTGGTGAAACTTGCAAATATAAATAAATAGCACTTTGCTCCTTAAAATATACACTATATTGCCAAAAGCATTGGGACTCCTGCCTTTACACACACATGAACTTTAACGGCATCCCAGTCTTAGTCCGTAGGGTTCAATATTGAGTTGGCCCACCCTTTGCAGCTCTAACAGCTTCAACTCTTCTGGGAAGGCTGTCCACAAGGTTTAGGAGGGTGTCTATGGGAATGTTTGACCATTCTTCCAAAAGCGCATTTGTGAGGTCAGGCACTGATGTCGGATGAGAAGACCTGGCTCGTAGTCTCCGCTCTAATTCATCTATTGAGTATAGGTCAGGACTCTGTGAAGGCCAGTCAAATTCCTCCACCCCAAACTCACTCATCCATGTTTTTTTGGACCTTGTTTTTGTGTACTGGTGCACAGTCATGTAGGAACAGGAAGGGGCTATCCCCAAATTGCATAAAATTGTCCAAAATGTCTTGTTCTGCTAACACCTTAAGAGTTCCCTTCACTGGAACTAAAGGGCCAAGCCCAACCCTGAAAAACAAACCCACACAATAATACCCCTCCACCAAATTTTACACTTGGCACAATGCAGTAAGGCAAGTACCGTTCTACTGGCAGCCATCAAACCCAGACACGTCCATCGGATTGACAGAGAAGCGTGATTCATCACCCCAGAGAACACGTCTCTACTGCTCTAGAGTCCAGTGGTGGCGTGCTTTACACCACTGCATCCGACGCTTTGCATTGCACTTGATGATGTGAGGCTTGGATGCAGCTGCTCGGCCACGGAAACCCATTTCATGAAGCTCTCACTTTTGTTGTGCTAATCTGAAGGCTGCACAAAGTTTGAAGGCCTTCAGCTATTGACTCTGCAGACAGTTGGCGACTTCTGTGCACTTCAGCATGCTGACGCTGACCCCGCTCTGTCATTTTACATGGCCTACCACTTTGTGGCTGAGTTGCTGTTGTTCCCAGTTGCTTCCACTTTGTTATAATACCACTAACAATTGACCGTGGAATATTTAGAAGCAAGGAAATTTCACAGATGGACTTATTGCACAGGTGACAACCTATCACGGTACCACGCTTGAATTCACTGAGCTCCGGAGAGCGACTCATTCTTTCACAAATGTTTGTAGAAGCAGTCTGCATGCCAAGGTGCTTGATTTTATAGACCTGTGGTCATGGAGGTGATTGGAACACCTGAATCCAATGATTTGGAAGGGTGTCCCAATACTTTTGGCAATATAGCGTATATTTTAATGTAAGCAATTTTTGAAATGATCATTGGATCAAAAAACAAATGAATGTAAATAAAACTAATGGGGCTTTGTGATTTGATGCTGCTGTGACTTTAATTGTAGGATCTGAAATGGCCTGTGTGATTACATGGCACTTGTAACAAACACATTGCTTTGAGTTTCACAAACAGTTGATATTGATGAAGCTTTCCTTCGTGTTTAGTATTTTTTTTTACTTGATATCAGTACTTGACTGTTTGAGACTGGTCAGAATATCCCTGTATTTGTACATGTGCTATAGTTAAGTTGCTGGGGGAAAAGACTGTGTGACTTATATATAAAGTTCATTTTTTAAATTCTGTATTTAGGGCCAGTTCACACCATGCCCAAATGTGAAATCGCACCACACCACACTGCACTACAAGTAGTGAATGCACAGACTCACAAGTGATAGAGTGGCATGCGGAGATAAGTGTTCACATAGGATTGCTATTGACAGGCGTTTTTGCATTGAAGTCAATAGGAGGTGTTTTTGCATTGAAGTCAGTGGTAGGCGGTTTTAAACTGAAGTCAATGGGAGGTGTTTTTACACTGAAGTCAATGGGAGGCGTTTTTGCGTTGAAGTCAACGGGAAGCAAAGTAGCATTAAAGTCAATTGGAGACGTTTCTCCATTGAAGTCAATTAGAGGCATTTTTGCATTGAAGTCAATGGGAGGCAATTTTGCATTACAGTCAATGGGAGGCGATTTTGCATTACAGTCAATGGGACGAGATTTTGTATTGAAGACAGTGGGAGGAAGTGTGTGAACCCAGGCACCAGGATGCAATTTCTAGTTGCCATGGCGACCTGGTACCTGGGATTTGTTGAGCCCTGTCATGAAACATCCACAATGCTCCTGATGGCCAGATACTATGTAATCTTATCCTATCTAGGTTTTTAGGACTTTTTTCTTAAATAATCGCAAGTGAAGCAAATGATTTGGTCCTTACACGTGCTGTATTGATCTTTATGAGGTGCATATTTTAAAGTTGGTAAACGTTTATGAATTTTAATTTATCAGTGTTGTTTTCCCATCAACCAATATAACTTACTTTACACCAAAGTTATGAAGATAAAACATCTGTATACTTGTCAAACAGCTGCTATTCGATGTGGAATCAAATAAAGGTTTGTCTGTGTTACTGTTGCTGAAAAACTATATGTACGGACCTGAACTTTACTTGTTCAGAATTTCTTAAGTTAAAACAATAATTAAAAACCTTAAAAAAAATTGTCAGACCTGAAGGGATTTTTGCGACCGTGTCCTAATCTAAACTGGAAGTGTAGTCACGGATGCATACCTTGTTAAATAACTTAGCCAATGTCAGTTCCCTTTGCTACAAGCAAATAGTTGCAAATAGAGTGAAGAGGGATTAGAACACCCAACTGGTTTTTTATTGCTGTCTGTGTTCCCAGTAGGAGATTCACCAAAAGTGAAAAAAAAAATCCCACATTTTTGGCTGTCTCCTGAACAGTAATAGAGGGGAAATCTTCCAATGGGGACACAAGTCCTGGTGACAACAAGGGATTTCCTCAGTTTGGAGTGACTTCCACTTTCCTGTTTTGGCTATGGGACAGGATGTGAAGGGAAATCTCCCCAATGGACCACTGGTGGACAAAAAGAAAACCTGGCAAATAACCAATAAACTTTCTTCATTTCTTTCAGCTTCTGTGAACATTTCTGGAGCATTTATTATGTGTATTTGTACACATTTCTAAGCTTGTGCCTTTTTGTTTTAGGCAATGGAAAGCTAGTTACTGGGAAGAAGCAAAAAAAGGCACAAAAAAATGCATTTTCTGGTGTTTTTCCAGCACTACCTTTGAAGCCTATAGGGACCAAAAATGTGAGACTCTGCCCCAGAGAAGATTGTGTACTTTTTTCAAGCAACAGACTTCAAGGAACACAGTGCTCAGGTGTGTGAATGGGTACCTTTAAATGGAATGGGGATCTTGATGCTTTGGGTTGAAGTGCTCTTCAAATCTCTTACAGTTGTGGCCAAAATTATTCAACCCCCACTGAAATTGAGTGTTTTGGCCAGTTTGACATTGCTTTTGATCATTCAGTCATCTTGCTTTACATTTACATTAAAGAGCACTTGTAGGTCAGACAAATATAACATAACAGTTATAATGAAATAACCACAAATGTCTTTTCTGTGCTCACAGCATTATCAGTTTTATTCAACCCCCAAGTGACATTCAATCTTAGTACTTAGTACAGCATCCGCCTTTTACAGTTATAACAGCTTTTAAACGTGAAGCATAGCTTGACACAAGTGTCTTGCAGCGATCTACGGGTATCTTCGCCCATTCTTCATGGGCAAAGGCCTCCAGTTCAGTCACATTCTTAGGCTTGCGCACTGCAACTGCTTTCTTTAAGTCCCACCAGAGGTTCTCAATCGGATTTAAGTCTGGTGACTGCGATGGCCACTCCAAAATGTTCCAGCCTTTCCTCTGCAACCATGCTCTAGTGGACTTGGAGTTAGGTATGCTTGGGATCATTGTCCTGTTGAAAGGTTCCAACGTTCTCCCAAGCCTCAGGTGTGTGACGGGACTGCATCACGTTTCCATCCAATATCTCCTGGTACTGAAGAGAATTCATGTACCTTGCACAACGCTGAAGCTTCCCTGTACCTGCAGAAGCAAAAACAGCCCCAAAGCATGATTGACCCTCCACCATGCTTCACAGTAGGCAAGGTGTTCTTTTCATCATAGGCCTTGTTCTTCCTCCTCCAAACATAGCGTTGATCACATGGGCCCAAACAGTTCTAATTTTGTTTCATCAGTCCACAGAACACTATCCCACAACTTTTGTGGTTTGTCCACATGGCTTTTGGCATACTGCAGTCGACTCTTCTTATTCTTTGGAGACAGCAAGGGGGTACGCCTGGGAGTTCTGGCACGGAGGCCTTCATTACGCAGTGTGCGTCTTATTGTCTGGGCTGAAACTTCTGTACCCACATCTGACAAATCTTTTCTCAGTTCCTCAGCAGTCACAAAACGGGGACTTCTCTCCACTCTACGCTTCAGGTAGCGCCAGCAGTCGAAGTCAGCATCTTCTTTCTGCCACGACCAGGTAGCGTTTCAACAGTGCCCTTTGCCTTGAATTTGCGAATGATGCTTCCTAAGGTGTCTCTTGGTATGTTTAACATCTTTGCAATCTTCTTATAGCCATTGCCCTTCCTGTGAAGAGAAATCACCTCTTTCTCTTGTCTTCCTGGACCATTCTCTTGCCTTCACCATGTTTGTAACCACACCAGTAAATGTCTAGAAGGAGCTGAGTATCACAGTCATTTTAAAGCTGCCTAATTGGTGCTTATTATGCTTGATTGCTGCTCGGTGACATCCACAGGTGTTTTCAATACCTGATGGAAAGCACCTGTATGAACCTCTGTTCTTCAGAGTGGTAGTCTTTAAGGGGTTTGAATAATTGTGGCCAATGAAGAAACCACATAAGAACCATTTACTACTGTATTACATAAACAATTGATGTCATTTTAGTTGCATTTGGGTAGTTACAAACGTCCTTGTAGGATTTGATTCTGAATACAATTCCAAATGTACACTATAGTCCCTAAACCCCTTTACAGCATTGGGGGTTGAATAATTTTGGCCACAACTGTAGGTGTGAAGTAATATGAGGATTTGCACATGAACATTGCTGACTTTTTCCCCGGCATCTATAGGAGGATGCAGGAAAGAGCTCTATGTGCCGGACTGCCTGGGAGATGCACAATACAAAGTGTGAGTCATGAGATCTCTCCGTGTCGCTAGGATAAAGGTAGTATAGGGTGTACAGGGAAGGTGCCACTCTCACAGTAAAATTGTTTTGCGGTTTCATATCGGAAGACTTAGGTAGACTAAATCTTTTTTTCTGGGTTTCAGTAACATACTCCAGTTTTGCTTTTAAACAAAGAAAAAAAAAAAAAAAAAAGATATGTGATCACCTGCCTTAGGCCAGGGTCATCGGACAGTATTTGGAGACACTTGTTCTCCCATGTCTGACAGCATGAGAACATTCTGAGTTGTCTTATAGGAATTGATTTACCACAGGAATAGAGAATTTTCACTTAACCACTTGCCACCCGCATAACGCATATGAGCAGTTGAAAAGAGGGTGAGATTTAACACCCACACGTCACACATATGTATCTATGCTTGCTGTACTCAGGATGGAGACTGAGCTGTCAAAGACAGCTCTCAGTCTGTATTAATAATCGGGATCTGGCAACTTATCATGTGACCACTGTGACAGTCAATCATGGTGATCACATGACTAGGCAGACATTCCTGCCCCCGGATGTGTAAGCCCAGTTAAAGGGACTCCGTGGTAGGTGGGTTAAAGGAACGCTGGGCTGTGGAGGGGAGGGGGGGGGGGGAGCAGCTGGCTCTGGCTCTCAGCATATCACAGAGAGGCGAAGCCAGGTGCTGCACAAGTCAGGATCTTTCTTCAGCCTGGACCAGCTGAGTCACTTCAACTGACAGTGGGCTGAAGCCTGCTGTCAGCTGAAAACGGCTCACAGGAGTGCAGAATGAACTACACTCCTGTGATCCACAAGAGAAGTCCAGCAAAAAGAGCCTTGGCTGGACTTCTCCTTTAAAGATGAGCTCCATTCGCCCACCCAAAAAAAATTAAGTCAGCAGCTACAAATACTGCATCTGCTGACTTTTAATATAAGGACACTTACCTGTCCAGGGATCTAGTGCTGTCCTTACCCGAGCCAATTCTTCAATGGGCTTTGGGTCCAGGAGTTGGCATCTTAACTAATGGGAAACAGCTGTGAAGCCTTGCGGCTTCACATTGCGCATGCATGAGGCGTGCTGTGCTTTGTGAATGGGCCTACAGTCTTCTGGGACCTGTGAAGACTGTGGGTGTTGGGGGTGAACTTCCATTAGGATCACCTAGGCCAGTGATGGCAAACCTTTTTGAGCCCGAGTGCCCAAACTGCAACCCAAAACCAACTTATTTCTTTCAAAGTGCCAACACTGCAATGAAACCTGAATATCGAGCTTTTGGTTTAGAAAAAAACAACTCGTACAGTAGTGCAAACTAATTAACAGTACAGGGATGACCAGAGACTGCGGACACAGTACAGGGATGACCAGAGACTGCGGACACAGTACAGGGATGACCAGAGACTGCGGACACAGTACAGGGATGACCAGAGACTGCGGACACAGTACAGGGATGACCAGAGAGACTGCGGACACAGTACAGGGATGACCAGAGACTGCGGACATAGTACAGGGGTGACCAGAGACTGCGGACACAGTACAGGGATGACCAGAGACTGCGGACACAGTACAGGGATGACCAGAGACTGCGGACACAGTACAGGGATGACCAGAGACTGCGGACACAGTACAGGAGATGACCAGAGACTGCGGACATAGTACACGAGATGACCAGAGACTGCGGACACGGTACAGGGATGACCAGAGACTGCAGACACAGTACAGGGATGACCAGAGACTGCAGACACAGTACAGGGATGACCAGAGACTGCAGACATAGTACAGGGGATGACTAGAGACTGCAGACACAGTACAGGGATGACCAGATACTGCAGACACAGTACAGGGATGACCAGAGACTGTGGACACAGTACAGGGATGACCAGAGACTGTAGACACAGTACAGGGATGACCAGAGACTGCAGACACAGTACAGGAGATGACCAGAGACTGCGGACACAGTACAGGAGATGACCAGAGACTGCAGACACAGTACAGGAGATGACCAGAGACTGCAGACACAGTACAGGAGATGACCAGAGACTGCGGACACAGTACAGGGATGACCAGAGACTGCGGACACAGTACAGGAGATGACCAGAGACTGCGGACACAGTACAGGAGATGACCAGAGACTGCAGACACAGTACAGGAGATGACCAGAGACTGCAGACACAGTACAGGAGATGACCAGAGACTGCGGACAGTACAGGGGATGACCAGAGACTGCGGACAGTACAGGAGATGACCAGAGACTGCGGAAAGCACAGGGATGACCAGAGACTGCGGACAGTACAGATGACTGCTGACCTTTGGGGAGGGAGGGGGAGCGGGTACCTGAATTTGACAGGTACCCGCTCTTACTTCCGCAGAGTTTTTTTTTTATCTTACCTGTTCCTTTATCCAGCCGCGCGCTGTCTTCCCGGCTTCTGTAGTGTGGGCGCTCGTCGGACAGCCGGATGCCCAGTGCGCATGCGCGAGAAGCGCTGCGCTTTGTGATTGGTCCGGCGGCTTCTGGGATCTGTCATGTGTCCCAGGTACCGCCTTTACCATTCACAAAGAGCACTGCTTCTTGCGCATGCGCACTTGGGACCCGGCTGTCACGCACACTACAGAAGCCGGGAAGACAGCGCGCCGCTGGATAGAGGGACTGGTAAGGTCCCGCTGCAGAGCTGAGCGGCCGGCCCGGTATTCTGACACGGCGGCGGTGGAAATACCGGACCGGCCGCTCTATATTCGCTCCATAAGACGCACTGACATTTCCCCCCCCTTTTTTGGGGGAAAAAAAAGTGCGTCTTATGGAGCGAAAAAAATACGGTATTCTCCTGGCGTGCCCACAGATAAGGCTCGGCGTGCCGGCTGTGGCACGCGTGCCACGGGTTCGCCATCACTGACCTAGGCAATCCAGGTGGAAGTGGGAGGGGGCACCTGCCAGAACCAGGTACCTGATTCCTCCCGCCCCCAAAAAAGTGCCAATTCTTAAAGAAAAGTGGGCAAACAAGCGTTACTTCCCCTAGGGTAAAGTTCCACTTTACATATTGATATTTGCACTGAAAATGGTCATTTTGGCTAACTTTTTGAACTGTTAGTAAAAATGTGGCTCTGTTAGTAAATATTTTTGTGTCATGTCAGTAAGTTTCATTTCAGGAGGTTTGCAACCCTGAACTAAGCTCACTGATTTAATAGTTTACTAATGCAATTACATTCAGAGCATGCAGTGAATGAGAACTGTCACAGTTACTTGTACCCTCTACCAACCTGTCAAGCCATGCTGGCACCATCCGGCTCCACAAACTGGCGATTTCCCCCTGCATCAGCTGAAATCCCTGCTGGCACCACCCGGCTCCACAAACTGGTGATTTCCCCCTGCATCAGCTGAAATCCCTGCTGGCACCACCCGGCTCCACAAAACTGGTGATTTCCCCCTGCATCAGCTGAAATCCCTGCTGGCACAACCCGGCTCCACAAACTGGCGATTTTCCCCTGGATCAGCTGAAATCCCTTCTGGCACCACCCGGCTCCACAAACTGCAATCCAAAGAATGAAAGAGCCGGACACAACATTGCTGACTGAACAGTGACTGTATCCAATAAACCTCAGGGAATGTTAGGGTGCCAGCTTTCAGAATACAACATCTCTGTAGGTGTGATTTGTCCATCTACACTGCTTGGTGTGGATGGAGGAATCTGTTCATCTTCTTTTGATGAGCACACAGGCCCAAAAAAGTAATCTATGCATCTATGGCCAGCTTTAGGGACGGGGTCACTTTAACTATTAAAGAAAATCTACTAAGACTGCAGAAGATAGAATCTAGAACCATTGTGTATGGATGCCAAGCAGCTTCAAGCTTCTGCTTGTTCAATTAAAGTGTTACTAAACCCAGGACCCTGCATTCACTATATCTGGTCTCCCACAGTACATGGAAATGCAATTATTTTAGTAAATATAAACTGCTAAATTCCTTTTCTCATCAGCAGTTAGAGCAGTCTTGTGGCTTCTATCAGCGTTCAGCTGAGCACTGGTTAAAGCTTGTAGGAGTTTTCCTCCTCCCCTGATTGTCCTATGACTCTGATACAGTCATTCTCAATTCTACAATTCATGCAGATCTCTTAGGTTGTAGTGGTTATACTTGCACCTGCAGCCATTGTCCCTGTATCAAAATTTTCAGCCAGCAATTCCCTCTTTGGCAGAAGTGATTTGAGTGGCTAAAAAGCCACTCGATCACTTCTGCGGGTGGCAGAAAGCCCCCACCCCCCCGCCTTTCGTGGGCTCTGCCATCTGATTGCAGAGCCTGGGAGCAATACAACCGGTGGTAACAGTGGCACTACAGAGAGGAACTAATGTTGTTCCTCCCTCTCTGTGACCCTGGAAGCAACGGCCAAAAAAGCAGCCAATCAGACCGATCTGTGTCTGATCGGCTACATGGAAGACCAGAGAAGAAATATGGGGTCTAATAGACCCCAGATCTCTCCATAAAGAGTACCTGCCATGGCCCACGCTGTAACAAGGGATGTTGTTCATCCCTTGTGATACCAATACAGTTAATAAAAAAAAAATGGAGACAGTGTAATAAAAAAAAAAGGTTTGGATGAAATAAATAAAAAAAAAAAATTAAAGCTTACATGCAAATGTAAACTCATATGTAAGTCGCATGCATATGTAAACGACGATCGCGCCACACTAGCGAGGCATCATCGCGATTGGCAGTTTGTGAGCATTCTAGTGCCAGACCTCCTGTGTATCTCTAAACTGGTACCTGCACAGGCGTTTAAAGCACTGACTATGGAGAATTCTAAGAACTGAAGCTTGGCGCCATGCCACAAGCTGATGCAATTTTTAAGCGCGTCATGTTAGGTATCTATTTACTCGGTGTAACTTCGTCTTTTAGATTTTACAAAAAAATGGGTATTTTATCGTGTTTGCGTGCAATAAAATTCATGAAAGTGTATTTTTTCCAAAACAATTCATTTTAGAAAAAAAACCGCTGCATGAGAAGTGCCCGGTAGGCAAGGGGTTAAGTGGCTTCCACCCAGCCCAGCCGGGCTCGTCTATGACACTGATATGGAAATTAGATTGTCAGCTCCTCCGGGGCAGGCAGTGTGAGGGGGGTGCGGGGCTCCGGGTAATACATAATGGAACATCGGGCGGTCAGTGGAAGGATGGAATCTCCGGGAATCTCACACATCCGGCAGAGAAGAAGCAGCGATCAGCTGTACGCTCACATTAACCCCTCCACCCCCGAGCCGCCTGCACTCCACCGCTTCTCACACAGCGCTTCCCTAGCGCCTTCCGGCTCACAGCTGGTTAAGGGGGCGTGGTCACCTCTTGAACGATTCCCATGCTGTAGATGGCAGCCGCTGCGCTCATTCCCCGCCCCTTTTCTTCATTGACTGTAGTCGGGCGCAGTGGCGGAGCCCCCCCCCCCCCCCTCTATGAAGCGGTGTGCGGGCGGCCATTGGCGGACACGGGATGGGGGGGGGGAGGGGAGGAATCCTGCTGACTTCACACATGCCGCTCTTTGGCGCGGAACAGCGCAAGCAAGCCGTGACCTTCAACCCCGGCTGCCGGCAACCAATAAGAGTGCGGCTCGTTTCCAAACCCAAAATTTCCACGTCGGCAAAAGTCAAGATGGAAGGGGAGAGGGAGGCAGGGGAGCGGAGAGCTGCGGGGCCGGCGGAGGGGGCGGCGGTGTGGAGGTGTGCGGTGGGTGCTCTCCCCGGGGAGCCGGCTCCTCACACACAGACCTGTTGCTCCGCTGTAGCAGCTGCTCAGGTGCCCCGGCCGGGCCAGGTGCGGGGGGCTCCCCCTCCATCCATTGCAGCAGTGCGGCTCCCATTTGGAATGCAAGACATGGGATCCCATCCTGAGCGCGGCCCCCCCTCTTCTGCACACATAGACCCGGCCGGCCAGGCGTGCTGCATGGAACGGGGACCGGTACATTACACGGCCGGGGGGGGGGGGGGGGGGATGCCAGGTACATGGAATCGGGACACCCTCCTCTGCAGATCTCCGACCGGCCGACTTTTACCGACTTTCTCTTTATTTAGGATGAATGTTCTCCCACGGATGGGGCTCGTCTTCTAATGACAGCTGTGATCAGTGAGGGGGCGAGGTGGGAGATGCTGCCAGTCCACCCCCCCCCCCACACACACACCCTGCAATCTGTTGCTTTCACAGATCTCTGCCGTCATGGGCCGGATCGGGTCTCCGGGATCAGGTAATGAGGAGATCGGACGTGTCCCCGGGCTGTGTGTCCTCTGTCGGGGCCCCTAAGGCAAAGTTCTGTGACACTCGGACTCTGAATATGATAGCAGTCAGTGCACTACAGAACTTTGTTCAGGGAGGCTGCATCGTCTGCCCGGGGGAGGAAGGGTTAACCCGGCCACCAGCTGGACACGTCACTGAGGAGCCACATCGGTGGGGGCAGGACGGCCGATCTACATCCGAGAGACTCTGCAGATGTCTGTGTGTGTGAGATCATCACAGGGATCGACAATATCTCCACGTCGTCCAGATGTCATGGTTGGATAGATCTTCAAACTCCAAATGTCAGGATTGTATAGATCTACATAGTGCAGGTGTCAGGGTTGGATAAATGTCAGGATCGGCTAGATCTACATAGTCCAGCTGTCAGGATTGGCTGGATCTACATAGTCCAGCTGTCAGGATTGGATGATCTACATAGTCCATGTCAGGATTGGATGATCACATAGCTGTCAGGATTGGATAGATCTACATCGTCCAGCTGTCAGGATTGGATAGATCTACATAGTCCAGCTGTCAGGATTGGATAGATCTACATAGTCCAGCTGTCAGGATTGGCTAGATCTACATAGTCCAGCTGTCAGGATTGGCTAGATCTACATAGTCCAGCTGTCAGGATTGGATAGATCTACATAGTCCAGCTGTCAGGATGGGCTAGATCTACATAGTCCAGCTGTCAGGATGGGCTAGATCTACATAGTCCAGCTGTCAGGATGGGCTAGATCTACATAGTCCAGCTGTCAGGATGGGCTAGATCTACATAGATCTGTCAGGATGGGCTAGATCCACATAGTCCAGCTGTCAGGATGGGCTAGATCTACATAGTCCAGCTGTCAGGATGGGCTAGATCTACATAGTCCAGCTGTCAGGATGGGCTAGATCTACATAG